ACCATCATTACCGGCAGATTTCAGGCAATGTCACCACATTGTCATTGCTGTCATTACCCCTTCTAGCCAGATGGCTATGCCAGCAGATTTTCCTGTCACCCCTTTATTTTGCTTTCTAAGATGCCCACAGATAGGATACTGGACTGTTCTTTCAGCATTTGATGTAGGTTTGGGAACTAGCTAAGTGGACACTGGATTGTCATGAATACACATGTCAAGCTGCCAAGCATGGATCTATTGCAGTTTACATTTGTGGCATAATCCAGTCCGACCTGCATTGGGCTTTAAGTGACCAGAGCTCTGCTCAAGTGTATTTCAGTCATCTCAGGCCTTTGGGATCCTTCCATATGGGTTGTCCTTGTCAGCAGTGCAGGAACACAAGCCTTAAATGCTGCTCAAGTCTGTCTTAAATAGGGCTTAGGTAAAGTTTAGTSTTTGTTAGGATTGTATGCATGCATGTATTGAGCTGGAGTTCCAGTTACTGTTTGATAACTTTGGTCTTTTTCTGGAAGAAAGTCRTCAGGGCTAACTTTTCACCAAGTGTTTAAGCTGCCATTAGTGAACCTGTAGAAGTCCAATTGTACCAATTTATATTCTGATTCTGGTTACAACTAGAGTTGTAAGTTACCTATGTTTGGAACTCTCATTTATTCTATATGTTCTAGCATAATTTATTTATATGTTCTGATATACCTTTCAAGATATCAGAACATCAGAATATACTATCCTTTTGTTAGGTAAGTTTCTTTTTTCTACCTCCTTAAAAAAGGCAGAAACAAARTAGTTATTTGAACAGCCTTTTTGAATCTCTGTTTTAGTTTTAATGGAGCTCTGTGCTCTTTCACCTTCAGCCAACCATAAGCATATTCAGCATATAGGAAACTTTATTATTAGAAGTAGTATTCTCTGCAGTTGATTATTCAACATTTCTTCTTGCTCTTCTGCTCTTTCATACATCTTGATTCTACTTAGATTTTATAGATCTCCCAACCTTCATTCTCCCTGGATTATATAATGCAATGTGTCAGTGCCATGCATGGCACTCCAGTTACCTCAGCATTTCCATTATAATTCTATGTTTTGAGGGATTTATAGGCTAGCAGTAAAAATCTCTTTCTTGGCTAAACCCTGAAACAGCAGTTTCCAGTCATTTAAAAAGAAAACAAAATGAAACAAACCTTTTTTTCCTCACTTCTGTTTTTTTTGTTTTTTTGTTTTTTTTTTTCTGGCAACCATTTAGCAGTGGTGTTTACACTGCRGGATCCTCGTAAACAGCAAGTGTAGATTCAGAATGGAGCCAGTTTTTAATCTAATAATTTTTTTTCCTTTTTATATCCTTCAAAAATGTATGTCATCCCCTCTTCATGCACATGATGTCATTGCCTCTTTGCCAGCCTTCAGGAGCCTGCAGCCTTTGGGGCCTCAAAAAAGTTGCAGTTTGGTCTCCTTTATTTGCAACGTGGATGG